GATACAAATTATATTAATTAACTACACATAAATGACTAAAGTTACAATAATTGTATCTTAACGTGGAAAACTCTTCAAGAAATTGATTTAGTAACCATCAAGTGCAGTGATATTTTGTAGCAGAAAGGTATTAGGTAAATATTTATTAACAAAGTCAGAATGAGGCCTTGATTAAAACTAAAAAAACTCAGGTCATTTAAAATTTTTCTGAATATACGAATAAAATTTTTCAAGCGAAATCCATAATAGCCTTCCTTGAATCATGGATTATGTGGTACCAGATAATTTGTTAAAGTAGTTCTTTAGTTACTTACTTTTCTGATTGACAGAAAAACATCAAAATAAAAATCATTAACCATTACTTTCTTTATGTACTTGCATTTTTATTAAAGGGTTCGATTACATTTAAGAGTGATTTTCTAAATATCTCATTTCCAAAACGTATTCAAGTTTATGACCCATTAAATTCGACCCATTTACAAATTATATTATTAACCTCTATAGATCTGGTGCAATTTGCAGATTCACAGATCTCATGAAAACACCACAATGCATATATGACATGGATTCGTATAGAATTTAATAGCTTATAAGTTTCACAAAGTTGTAAATATGATTTATGACGTGGAAAATAGAATAAACGAAGTCATAGGTGCGAAAAAAAATTTATTAGTCTAAGTCTGAAAGTAAAATCGGAGCAAATGGGAGAAGGTTTTTGTGCATTCATTAAATTTTATAGGTTAAGATCTATTGATAAAAAGTTTAAGTGCAAATAAAACACATTCACTCTCTAAACGCAATAAAATCTGTTTTATATGATGTACTTTTGACAAACTAGTGCCAGTCGTGAATTGGCATTTTAAGTATTTTTAATACAAAAATTGTTTACCATGATATTTAAATGCAGAAAAAACTGATGAAGTGCTAAATTTGGATATTGGCAATTCGGCTTTCCAAAAAGTGCGACAAAAGCTACCTCCAGATTTGCAAAATGTGATGTTGGAACAGAATGTGAAAATTGTAGAAGTAACTTCTGCAACAAATTCACAATTTGCTACTAACTTTTGGGGAGCAAAATTCTACTCTATAAGATTGTGCAAAGAATAAGAAGCTGGGTCGGAACCTTAAGAACTGCATGACGTCATTTGAGAAAAAAATGAGACGACTGAAAGGATGCAGATGATGGACTACTTATGCGAAAAGAGAAAATACAATGAATTAAAAAAGTAAAATAAATGAAAGTAGAACTTTGAGAAATAAAAAGTGTTTATAAATAAGGAAAAAAGGGCATGAATTAAATATGATACTCTCTTATTACGAACCTGCCTTAAGGTAATGATAATAATAAAGATGTTTATTAATTTCGCGAAAGAGGGAATAATATTTACGTCTAAAACACCATTCAAGTCATTTTAAATTTTCTCGACGTTTTTACTCAATTTGAACAGCTTGAAACAAAATGATGAAAGCTAAATGTATGAGGCCACAAATTATTTCTTACATTCAAGTTTTCTATAAAATGTTTCTATTATATTTTTTTTAAAAAAGATTCAATTTTCTTCGATCGATTTTTGACATTTTTAAAATATTTAAAAAATGACCTTTTTGAAAAATTTGATTTTTATTAAACGAATTATAGAAGCGCGTGGGCGCCGCGTTGTAGTATAAAGGTTAAACATTGGTATGGAATGCATAGAAATATAAACAAAATTTGTTATTATTAAAGAATCTATAAAATATGTGATAATTTCATGTGCATATGTCTAATGATCATTTTTGTCCGCCAAATGGCATTTTCTTCACTTTTTTATTTGATCTCCGAAACCGCTAGACTTGCCTTCCCAAAAATTGTGACAATTTTTCATTTCGTCAATACAAATAAAATGATTTTTGAATCATACAAATGAAATAGGGTCAACTGATTGGAATAATTTAAAAAATCATTTGATTCGTATTGATAAGGACACGTGCTGATTAGTTTTAAGCAAAGGAAGGTCAAGCCGTTTCGAAGATGCGAGGCAAAAAGAGACAAAAATAGTAATTCAGATTTTGAGAGAACGGAGCGTTCGATTTTATAATTCAAAAAACATACAATTTACATTAACAAAATGAAGAACCGTTTAAGTGTTTGCAGATCGAGTAACAAAAGTAAAAAAAAATGCCATTGGACATATCAAATTATCAGATATTTTATAGAGCTTTCAGTGTTAAGTATGAATTTTGTTTACATTACTCTGGGTTCCGTACCAATGTTTATCTGTTAGACTGGGATGCGCTGCTTATGCTTCGATATTGCTTTGAAGAAAATTTCGAAATTTTTAGAAATATTCAAAGTATAAAGAAAAAATTAGAATATACCAAAAATATAATTTTTCAAAAATGTCAGATTCGTTCAAAAATTTCAAAAATCTCTTCTTGAAAACAGAAATTTCAGCAAATTGTCAAGGTTTTTCAAAAACTTTAATTTTTGGTACGGAAAGTTCCAGCAATTTGCCTTAAGGCACAATGCCATGCGTCACTAGTTATTTTTCAAACATAAATTGATTAGTATAATATATCAACTAAACTATAACTTTATATATACGTTTGCCTTCAAATATCTCTTTGACTCACTTTACCTGACCCATACCCTTGTTTCGCACCCCGTGAGACCCTAAATTCAAGCCCAGCTGCATCGTTATATTCTTGCAAATATGACATGACCGTGTGGCCTAATGGATAAGGCGTCGGACTTCGAATCCGAAGATTGCAGGTTCGAGTCCTGTCACGGTCGAGTAATATTTTACAAAATATTTTGAAAGTAATTATTTTATTTAGGCATAAATTATTTAATCATTTACAAGAAGAAAATAAAGTTTAATATAATGCATCACGGCAATTGTTGGTTTATTTATATAAATTGTTTTTGACATTGAAAGTTGAACACAGAAATATACATTCGAATGCGTGTTTCAAAATATTTTTAATTGCCTAGGTTTTTTGTAACATAAAGCTCATATAATATTCGAAATTTTTGAATTTATTGGATATTTCAATATTAATGGATTAAAAGGATTTTGAATCTGTTCGTGTTTTATTTTGTTTTATTCTTTCCATTAAAGTTTCTTGAACGTGGAATAAAATATAAGTTATAGAAAAAAAAAATTGTCTCAGTAATTCAGGAAATTGAATATATGTTAATTACCCGAAGGAGAAGCCGAATTTTGTTAGAAAATCTGATTAGTTAAACGTATGTTCTAGTTTCAAGTCATTCTGAATCAAAGTGTATGGCATTGTGTCTTAAGGCAAATTGCTGGAACTTCCCGTACCATAATGAAATATTCAAGGAATATTGAATGCATTTAAATATATGTATTATTATAAACGCTAGAATTTTCTTATTTAGATTTCATAGACAAATTGAACGACGACTTTGATATGTTTACATGAAAAATGAATATACAAAACTTACTCAATCAGATTTAAAATGATGGACAGAGTTAAAATTATTTATTTCAAGTAAATAAGTGAGCTTTAAAACTTTTGCCAAAATTTAAATTAAAATCCGAATTATTTTCGAAATACGAAAAAAATTTTTTGAAAAAAAATCAATTTTGACAAAAAGAAATCGTTTCGTCAACATAAGTAAAAAGTTTTTAGATTCATTCAAATCGGTTGCTTAGTTCTCTCAAAAACTGCCATTTTTTGCACATTTAGCAACGTATCTCCAAAATGGCTGGACATGCATTTGCTAAAAACAAATTATCACAATCATGGATCATTCAAAGCTGGGCGCTCCGCTTTCTCAAAAACTCGATTTCTATTTTCTGCACTCTTTGCTCTTTATCTCCGAAACGGCTGGACCTACCTTTGCCAAAAACTAATCAGCTCATCTCCCTATCAATAGAAATCGAATGTTTTTTGAACCATTCAAATCGGTTGATCCGTGCGCCCGTAAACGTGACTGGAAAATTGTATCCATGCATACATACACACACATCCATTTTTTCTGAGGTATGCCAAAATGTTCAGAAACCTTCAAAACGTCGAGAAATGCAAAAAATTTCAATTTCGATTTTTGGACGATAAAATCTACGGAAAGTTAATATTCTATGCTTGAGCTTGATTTACATAAACAATAATGGATATTACATATTATTTATTATATATCTCAATTGTTAATTTATTTCAAATATTATTTGTGATTGTTTTATTTCAATAATATAATGATAATTATGTGAACTGATAATTTTGTAAAAATTTTGAATAATAATATTGCCACTGTGAAATAAATGTACACAAAATCGAATCCACTTGTTAAAATTGGTTTATATATTATAAGGTCTAAGTGTTTCGGGAATTAATTTTACACCACATGAACTGAATTTTTTTCACATAATTTCAAGCACTAGATTTAATTTTAAGTTAAGAACGTGATATATGACATGAAATTCAATCAATCGGGAGTTGATTGTCGGCAATGCTCATTCACTAAGTGACGTCACTAAGTGGTTTAGACAGTATAATCACTGGAAGTCAAATTTTACCTTTGTGCTCCGTTCTACTCTACGCCTTAAGCAAACTTAGGCTGTATGTAACAATTGATAAAACAATTTAATACAACAATTTTCATAATTATCTTAAATTTTTGACCTTACTTTTCACAATATTTTGCGAATTTCGAGATCGATTGATGATACGATTCAATAAAATTAATAAGCTTTAAAAACAAGAAAACACATGTAAAATTCTAGATCAAACTTATGTATATAACAATATATCCCTCCACTAACATTTTTTATTGTGTATATAATTCACCCTTGTCCAATAGACTAAGATTAAGTAAATTTTATGAGTAATGTTAGAAAAAAAAAGCTGTCTGCAAACGAATTGTTGGATGCTTGGAAGAGTGCACAGTTGCATTCTCACCCAAATTAAAAAAATATTAATATAAATTGGCTTGGTTTTACGCGTTAGTTAAGTCTAAAGACGTATTTTTTTTTTAATCTTCTTCCACTAACCTTTAAACTTCCATAAGGTCTTTCAGCAACAATCCTTTTCTCATCGCAACCTGCACTTCCTTGCTGAGGCAAGGAAGCAGTTGACAACGCCTCCTTCATGTTGGCTATTTCTCTCGTAACTCTGTCTTCGGTATCAAAATATTTTGGAAGATCATCGCCTTTACAAGCCATTTGACACAGCAATCGAGTCCGTCATAGAAAAGTTGATCTTGTCTAAGTCGTTATAAGTGAATTATAAATATTAGAAAGATGTTCTTGGAAGTGGTTTGATGTTGAACTACGAAATCTAAAGATTCGGTTTAGATGACAGTTCAAGCGGAAATGTTGTTGGATTTTTCATAGTTTTGTTGCTTTGGTTGGTTTCGTTAAGATTGACTAAAATTTTTAGATTTTCATGTGGTAGTTTTGTGGATTTTCAGGTTTCATTATGCCGGGTCCTGGAAATAAAGGAACTATAATTAGTATGAATTATCAATATAAAAGCCAAATATAAATATAACCATTGTTTGATGGCATTGTGTCATAAGGCAAATTGCTGGAACTTTCCGTACCAAAAATTAAAGTTTTTAAAAAAGAAATTTTAGAAATTTTTAACTTCCCGAAGGAGAAGTTTATGTTTTCATAAAAAAATCCGATTCGCTAGTTTTATGTTTTCTCGACGTTTCAATCCATTCCGAATCGAAGAAGACCAAATTTGGAAAAAGTATGTGTGTGCGTGTGTGTGAACAAATTTTTTTCCGTAAATCGACGTTTCCTCAAAAACGGCTGAACCGATTTCAAAAATTTAAAAGCAATTCAATGTATCTCGATGAGGACTATTGTTTGCCAAGCCTTTTCTTTGTAATTTGAAAAAAGGTGTTAAACTTTTCGCCCACATTTAAGTTAATACTACCGAATCGATTTTAAAAAATCAAAAACTGTTCGAAAGATATTAGTTAGGAAATTCCTAATAGGAATGATACTTATTAGTTTAGGTGAAAATCTACCGAGCTGTTTTCTTGCAATTAACTGTTGAAAAAAAAATTTAAACCGATTTTTATAGACCTTTTTTGGCGATATATATCATAGTTTTATAAAACTTTCTGAAATATGACGGCCTTACGACAAGTAGTTTAATTTTAAAAACTCATCAAAGTTTGAGAAAATTAGTAGTTTTTTTGACATTAGTTAAAATTAAAATTAGACGATTTACTTGGTATAACAATAGAGTACTTGATCTTAATGAACATACTAAAGCATTAAAGTCCTACGGAAACTGGTTCAAATATAAAAATTGTTGATTTTTGAAAATTTGCTTTTAGAAAATACTCCGAGTTAACGTGTTCGTTCGTTTTCAAATATGTGTAATAAATCCACTCGGAATAGTTTTAATAACTCATATTTTTTTTTCATTAAGTCGATTATTTACACATATCGGGAGGTTCATGTAACTTGCCTCAAGACAAAATACCAATACCAACTAGTTTGAAAAAAAATCTTTTTTTTCATACTTTGAAATATTTTGGAAATTTTGATTTTGTTTTCAAAGCAATCGCAATACGTTTTATTTTTATTTTTATTTTAAATTTTTATTGGCTTCGCTTACATGGAGCATTTAGCCACCTACAACGTTTCTTTATTTATTCAACATTATTTTTAATTCTATTTCTTACTTCTAATTCTAATCAAATTTAACTCAACATTTCAAATTCTAACTCAAGACATTATTTTACTTCAAATACTTCTTTTCTATTATTTCGTTTTTACTCATTCTTCTTTCTTCTAAATCCATCTTCTTCATTTTTCTACTAATGCTATTGCGCCTTCTTCTAATTTTTTTTTTAGCTTGATACTATTTTTTTATTCATACATACTAACTTATTCAATTACAATTCTATATTATCATATACAAATTCGTTATTACAATTCATTATTATTTTATTAGGAAGTGCCTGGAATCGAACCATGAGCTATGTCCGCCACATCGCAATACGTTAGCTGCGTAGAAACGAAATATGGAAGCGCATGGGCGCCGCGATGCAGTATAACGGATAAGCATTGGTATGGAACCCATAAAAATTTTGTTGCCCCTTATGTTCGGAATCTGCCTTTACTAAAAACTGATCAGCACGTCTCTTCATCCATAAGAATCGAATGTTTTTTGAATTATTCAAATTGGTTAATCCGTGTTCTCGAAATCGTCGACAAAAATTGTATCCGCACATACATACACAGACCTGCGCACACATACACACACACATACATCCATTTTTGTAAGGTATGACAAAATGTTCTGAAACCTCTGAAATTCAAAGGTATCTATAAAAACTTTCATTTTCGATATTTTTACTTTTTACGATTACTATGACTCACCCTACAGGGAGTTAATTAAAAAATCATTACAAATATATAAAAATCTGCTTATTTTATCATGATCATTGACCTCACGTTAGTCAATAATTAGTACGTTTTTTCACATAAACATAGATTAAGGTAATGATAAAATTCTATAACTAAATAACTTCAATTTAATGCAAATGCCTTTTGCTTCTTTATTTTCTCAAAACATTGCCCTGCTGATATTACCTCAATTGACATTACCTCAATCTTGTGTGTCCTGATGACACTAAATTGCTAATTATTCCCATGGAATAGTAGTATTATTTAAAGACTCATCTAAATAAATATTGCTCTACTAACATGATGTATTGATAATTTCTACTTATTCATGCGTAAGTTCATTGATTTCTCTTTGTTAAGTGCTATACGCAATGGATATAATGAACGTGATGTAAAATAAAAAAAAGATTATTAAAAAAAATTGTTTGGATAATCCAAGTTGAACTCAAATAGCAAACGATTTACTCATACATTTTATATTACTATCAGTGCATACGACCTCTATATTGCAATGCAATTTGACTCTAACGAGAAATCTGATACCAGCAAAAATAGTTCGACCAGTAATCTCAAACCATTTGTTAAAGTTCTTGAGGAAGAGCAGAAACACCAATAAGATGTATGGATTCCGTCAAATAAGTTAAAGAAAAGAATACCAAGTTGTAATGGTCTAGTTCTAGTATGTATGCTGGGACAGAAGAGATTAGAAGATTAGTTGAGTACAAGGAAAACTTAAAACTCCCAAAATGCAAGCATCTACTAACTAAAAATACAACCAAACTACTTAAAAGAGCATCTTCTTGTTAATACTTAGTTGATCTAAAGTATTTAAGGTTTAATTATGGCAATCTCAAATCAAAAATGTTTACAACTAGGGGTTGGGCGACATTTTAACATCCTATATACTATCACTAGAATTACTAAATAAGCGACTAGGGTGTAAATCCGTACAAATGTAACGGAAGTGCGTTACGGCAGATAAGATAAGATAAGAGTCGAGTGCCAATGATTCGTAATTCGCTCTCAATGATATCATTTCTATACGGGTCGATTGTGATTACACGCCGTATATGTGAATAGAGATCTGTCGTCGTATGCGTACCGGGATCAACGTTGTATGCGTACCGATATCAACAAGAAAATCGGCATAGATTAACAAACATTTTGAAGCTACATCGTAGTACAAATCTTGATTTAATGAAAAATGCCTGAATCAGAAAAATATTTTACCCTGTCACCCGTAAATAATTATAATGAAAATAATAAAACAAATGCAGAAAGTTTACTGAAATAATTTCTATATTATACGTAGTTTCTATAAATCTTTGAAGTTATTGATATGAAAAATATTTTTTAGGCCAAACAGATATTACAGCTGTTCAAAGAATGATATTATATCGTCAGCAAAAAAGTAAAAAAAATACCATCAGTCAATGAATGTATGTTAATTTTAATTATATGAAGTTCTTCAAACAATTATTACATGATGAGTGAAGTTGCGAAAACAATTTTGTTTAGGCGTTGTTTAACATAATCCACTGTGTGAACAAATATTATAAAAGTTATTAATCAGCAATTACTTCATTTCTCTAATGAAGGTTCGTTTCTAAATGCTAATTCCAATAACAAACCGATCATGTCATATTTGAAGTATGACTTTAATTACATTATTGTTTCTAAATATCATACATATTTTTAATGCTATTATAAATATATACTTTATAATTTATTATTATATAAATGTGTATAATGGTTACCACTAATAAATGTGTGCATTACGAGTGTTACTATATTACTAATAAACATTATTCAAAATTGTTATATGATGTATTTATTTTTACTTAAATGTCATCTTGTACAGTAACAAATAAGTTTTACTTCAATCGCGTGTGAACCTTACGCGCACTCTTTTTTTTTTATTGACATAATCATCATTGATATAATCATAGACAACATCTTTGTCAGATAGGGGTGCCTAGTAAAAAAGGTCATAAAAATTTTTTTATGCACAGGTTGTACATACATTAATATATAATACAGTAGAACTCCAATTATCCGAATTAATGGGGACCGGGACCCATTCGGATAATCAAATATTCGGATAATCGGAGTTTTTTTTTAAAATTGCCATTGGAGAGAAAAAAGTAACGTTTTGATATTGCACTATTTTTTATTGAATTGAATGAAAGAAACATGATATTTTCACATGTTTTTAATATAAATAAAATGTACTTATGTACAAGTTTAGAAATAAAAATCATTGTTTTTTAAACATCTTCGTCAATGTAAGCTGTTTTGCGGTCTTCCACCGTTCAACCCTTTTTGCGGTGGAAGAATAATAGCGCACTTAGACTTTTGGACAATTTTTTTTTCTGAAAGTGATTCGGATAGTCGGAGTTCGGATAATTGGAGTTCTACTGTTTATATATATATATATATATATATATATATATATATATATATATCCACTCTGCAACTAAATGCAACAAAATAGTTCTTAAAAACTACTTTTCCTAAAGCTCACTTTTGTAAACTTTAATTAACCACAGATGTACTGTTCATAATGCAAAAACATGGTTAATTTCATTTTAACCAAGTTATTTTTAAGAAAAGATCATTTTTGAAATAAATGAATGATTAATGCAAAATTATAGATATTCCATTTCATGACGAGCGATCTGATTTCTACTTGCCTATTGGGACACTAATAAGGAGATTAATAAAGTGCCTATGTCTGTATGGAACAGAAACATGGACTCTAAGAAAGGCCAACAAAAACTATCTGTGGAATTTCAAAATGTGGTGTTGGAGACAAATAGAAAAGATAAAGTGGACTGATGAGATAACAAATAAAGAAGTGTTAAGTTGAAGAAGTGAGAATTCCTCTGAGCAAGACAAATTTCTTGCTTTAAGTTGAACATTTGTCTCCATAAATAGTGGGCATTTGGAGACTTCTTGTTATTTTGCCATGTCCTCAAATATTAAGAAAGTTGCATTCAGAGATTCAATAGCAAGGAAACTGGATCAGACCCATTCTGCTAAAAAAGTGCCTCAAGGT